TGAACTGCTTTCATCACTGATATATTATACACTGTAGCATAACTTCGCAATCACTCACACTCTTTACTCGTTTGATAATGTATTTTTTTGTTTCTCATTTCGACAAGAACTTATTTGAAACAATGTGGATTCATTGATCAGCGTTGCGTGAAAGAAAAACAATCAACTATACATACATACATTAAGGACAAGATAATTTGATTACGTTATATATTTATTTATACATATCTACATCACACAGTGTATGAGAGATGTTGCGCAATGTGGCCTACGAATATACAATAATGTCAAAGTTCCACGGACTGTGTACATAACCTTTAATAATTTAGTCACTGGGGTCATACAAAAAAGTTAAACTCTCGGGAAAAGAGCAATCGCGTGTATGTAGCAGTAACATGGCGTTTATCAATTCAAGCAGGTGTACATAAATACGATGATCAACTAAACTGAGCACCGTCAACTTTTCCAAATGGGAATTACACATCATATCGTGTGCATAGATTTAAGAGCTCGGTGATGGCATTTTATTGATGATGTGACGTCATTGCCTCTATATCATAGCTTCCATGATGTACCTGACGTATCCACCCAGTGTTCCTATGGCAACAGCGGTCTTGTGAGATGAACATCCATCTGCGGAGAGATCAAATAATAATTGGTGTCTTTCAACATCATCACATCAACGTTCGTAGATGTACATAAGACGCAAATACAACGAAAATTGCTTATTATATTCTTGCTTATAACAAACCTTCTAATATTTTCTCTCTCCTTTTCACTTTGTTTTCGTCGTTGGTGTCTGCAAAAAAACACAGACAATGATCGACTTTCTCCATCTTTCTAACCTTTAGTGTGACTTTATACTCATTTACACTATTTCCCTGTCCTAAAATCCCCGTAGTTAGATTATACACTGATAACGAAAACTAAAATCTTTTAGCTTCACTAATTTGTTTGAACGAACCTTGATGGGCGAAGTCTGTAGTATAGCTGCTTTTAAAGCATCCGCTGCTGTCCTGCCAATGTAGAATATGATCCAGCCATTGTGGACGGTAAAATTCTCGGTAACCATCCAACCCACATAGCAACGCTGTTTGTTATGAGGAAAATACACAAATGTATGTACTTTGAATTAAGAAAACAATTCTACAATATAAACACACGCGTTTTTCTCAGTGTGAAGTAGATGATCAATGAAATATGTAAGAATTATGTATAAATTATGTTTTTAGTAAACAATACATGATTTACGACTGGTCAGTTGGTTTCCTAATGAAAACATTGATATTTAACTTCGAAATAGGCACTTGCATGGATGTGTAATTTACTCACCTTCCTCCAGGAACAGATCTTGCTTGTTGCTAGGAAACCCACCATCGGCAATATGTTCTGCATCTTTCAGCATATTTGTACAAAAGGTTTTCATCATTATATCTGGGTCAATGTCGACACCATCATTTTTCATTCGTTGAACCATTTGCGTTGCACAACCTTCCTGGTAAAAGATAATGCAATTCGAGTTGTTCTTCACGTAAATAATATATATCGCGCATTCGTTATCTTTAACATTTTGAATAATATTTAGTGCTGATCTCTCACCTCTCACCACATTGAATTGAATGTATGAATGCTGTTTCTGATATGATGTACTCGCGCAATAAACGATTTCAATATCACGTATTTTTGTTCGATTACGTCATATACCACTGTTTTGTTTGTAACCAGTTATACGATGTTTAAAACAGTGCGAAAACCTGAAAAGTTGCACTGGTTGGCTCATGTGTCTATATGCATAGCACCGTGGACGTACGCATCATGCATCAGCCTCGTACGAGGCTACATGGTATAATCATACAGAATATCATACGCACCAGAAACTACGCAATAGACTTTTCGTTATAAGCATATATGATCAAAACTTCTGGGAAGTTGTTATTAAAATCATTTCATTGACTTCCAAATGTTTTCTCACCTGTTGCACAATTTCTAAATAGAATACTTGGTGCGACAATGTATACATCTCATAGCCTGGCGTCGTCATAAGTTTTACGCATGCGTCAGAAACTTCACATGGTTTTGTGTCCGCACTTAAAATAAACGTCAATTATAGCATATATGAGATAATTAACACTGATTTATAGTATATAAATAATTTAATTCGAAAATAACGACTTTATTTTAAATTGTGCATACTCAACCTCGTTCCTAAAATTTCTCTAACACATTCGTCGGTAGCGTCCTCGTTCATGAATTCTCCATTGACAATGGGCTCCAGTATCAAATCGTCATCCACGGCTCTGCTAGGCGAGTGAATTTCCCAGAATCCCTTTCTAATAATTTTTCCAAGATCTGACAGAATGTTGGAAAAGAAACACAAACAACTTTAATCATTTTACTAAGATTTCACGGGATATATACATTAATATGACTTGTATGCAAACTTACATGCAAGTTGTTCGGGGTCTGACTTGGTTAACTGGGGCTGGGTTATATCACACAGAAACGACATTTTTTCTTGTAAACCCCGAATTCGTTCCAGTGTCATTTCTTGTATGTGCGGGACCGTCTCGGCAGTTTCCATTCTTTCCAAAAGTACGCTTAATTGGCCTGAAATAAGAAAATAAGTGAAATAGTCTTTTAAATTATCGTATGCAATGTAAATAGTGTGACACGTAATCGTGGTGCGCCCTCTAGTTTTTTGTGTTTTTCAGTGGATTGAAAATTACACTTTCGTAACGCAAGCTTTAAAATTAATTACGAATGAAGGTATATCATATAGCTTTTAACATTGTAACATAATACGTTTGTCATTGATGTTTTCCAAATCAACGCCCAAAATTAAATCGATTTAACAGTTAACAATGTGACGTCATAAATTATTATAAATACTCCATAGTGTGTATTTGTACAGGGATTGTGGCATGTCTATTCATCCAAGTTTTTGATATCTGAACTATGACGTAATATACATTTACTATTTTAACGACCACTTATATGTACATGTCCACCCTTTAAAATCTTTAAATCGTCAAGTAACGGCCACTATTGAATAAATCGATACAGGTAAGTCAACATGTACGCAATTTCAACCTTAAATTGACCGTGATTAACCGCACTACATCCGGGGAATACAGATCAAGTCGATCAATGAACAAGTGAATTGCAATTTCTTTACTCCAATTAAGGAGACAATAAACGACGCAGGTGCTTGAAAGATATAAAATGAAATTACTATTGAAGTATGAATAATAAAGGCAGCATTTCGCTCAAATTATGACAGTTTTAAAGTCCGAATTATAGCACTGATTTCTCGTTGTGCTCATGGGCAGGGACGCTTTGTTTCAAATTGATAAGAAGACAAATGTTACTATAAACGTTTTTAAAGAGTAAATGTGAATAACTTTGAGTATTTTAGAGCATCTTTCTAAATGCAGTAGAGTATGTGTTGGCAACACAAGAAGCAGTATTGATGAAATAATGAAATCGTCAGTACATTTGTTTACCCACAGGTACTGGTGGTTCGTAGCTTCCACACACTAACGATACGAGTAATTCGACGAACGAATTCTACTATGTTTGCAAAACAGTTTTGATTTTACAACAAATCACACATCACTGTAATTATCATTATGCAATATCAAACCAAATTACCAAGTTGTCCATATTGTCTTTTTAAGAAATCAATTTGGTTCATAGTCTGCCCTGACTTGATGGTGCATTTCTGAGCTTATTAGTGGGGCAGCCATGGAACATAATGTAAAGTATTTAAAATCTCTGTACAAAGCTATTATTTGCAGTAATCTGGAATAGTCTTCCATCATTTGGAATCGGTCTCTAAATAATGAAAACGATAAAACGTGTGAAAGGAAAATTAATAAATTTGTTGTGCTTTGAGTAGAATGAGTGCTATACTTCTTCAGACTAATATAGAATTGTCTAATACTTTAAATTTGCCATATTAATTTATTGCAGGGTGGTTGCCGAATGCCGATCTTTCTTTTTTTATACAAATGTGTTAATTGGAAAGTAAAATGGACAAATTTAACCTCAATCCCATTGAATGTTCTGTTTAAGGTCAGGTGTAAATTTCATTACCGTGTACCATTCTCCCGACGAAATATGCGAAAACAATTACACGGATAGTATTGAAATATTCACTAGATTGAGTACAATTAAAATGGATATATGTATTTTTATACATAAGTGGTAATACGTTTTGTATTTTGATATTATAATGCATGTAGGACACTGTATACAGATAATGAACCCATATTTTAAATGCCATACTCCCTACCCCATGTAAAAAAAATAGGTTGTAAATTCTTTGGTAATGTCCAAAAAAACAATATTCGTGTTTCTTTTCATTGAGCGTCAGATAAAAAATGTGCTCGTCTCGATGCATAATATTACAATGCATAATAAGCCACTTTCTCGGAAGGTGGGCAATGAATAAAATTTGGTGTTTATTTTTAGAAAAATACTAACCTTATTTCGGATCTTTAAAAAAATAAAAAATCGATAAGATAAACAAATTAAAATAACCTGCTGTATCATAATTTTTACAATACACTTTCTGAAATGACTTACATTGTAAACGCTGCTGTAGTAAGTAGGTTGTCAGACAAGTGCAAAGCAGGGAAGACAACTGAGAAACTTCTTCCACTAAATTTCCTCAAAAATTATAATAAATAACTTAAAACCGGATACAAATTTCGAAAATTTGTGAAAAGACGCTGCGATGTGCGATATAACCATTCATGGTAGAAATACTGAAACGAGCAGTATGAAGCATCACAGGAAATAGACTACTGCTATAATAAGATAAATCATCAAATATTCGGCCCTAACCCCCAAACACCAACCATACCCCGGAGTCTGTAAGGTTCAACTTGAAATGATGTTAGTTCGTCAATTAATTTGGAATTTTGAGGTAGATGGTTATTTCGTTTACTGAGACTATATTTTCTCTTTGTTGTATAATTCTAGCCCTCTCCTACATAAAATGGTTGCCAACTCTAAATAATTTAAGTTATTTGAGTAGTTTATTTGAATGTATTTTACAAATATTATTATGAATTAATATTGTCATCGATCTGACCGAAGTCCCGTGATAACTCTACACCTACAAAGGTATATAGGTTAACTCAGATTGTACGTAATCCCAGCTGGATACGAAGCTTAATTTAACGGCGTTAGTAACTAATAGCAACTAAGCAGCCATATCACAAGGTTACTTAATTTGCCAACAACGGTTACATCGATTTCAATTTTGATAGAAATCCATCACATTTGCCGTGATGAAAGAAACAGAGCACATTGGCGCCATTCATTACAAACATACAAGCTGCTAAATTTGCTCATCTGGTTGCTCGTTTAGCGGTGGGAAGTTGCTGAAGGCTGATTTATCACTCTTTTTGTCGCGGCATGATAAATCAAATTTACTGATGGGTGGCCAATATCATAACCGTTGTTTTCTTTTTTCACACTCTCCATGAAAAGGACGAGATGAATCAAGGAGCCGGCGTACGGTATGGGTGGGTATAGCCCGCTACGCCCACAGGGATCTCGTCGTACGGTGCGGGTGGGTATAGCCCACCACGCCCACAAGGATCTCGTCGTACGGTGTGGTGGATATATCCCGCCACGCCCACAAGGATCTCTTCGTACGGTGTGGTGGATATAGCCCGCCACGCCCACAAGGATCCCGTCGTACGGTGCGGGTGGGTATAGCCCACCACGCCCACAAGGATCTCGTCGTACGGTGTGGTGGATATATCCCGCCAGGCCCACAAGGATTCCGTCGTACAATATGGTTGGGTATAGCCCGCCACGCCCACAAGGATCTCGTCGTACGGTGTGGGTGGGTATAGCCCGCCACGCCCACAGGGATCCCGTCGTACGTTGTGGGTGGGTATAGCCCGCCACGCCCACGAACTAATAAATTATCATATAATAGATACTTCAGGGTTTTCAAACTGTTCCTTTGATGTCCACTCTTTTGAGACTATTTGTTATAATAATATAATTAAATATATTTATTACACTATTCCTGCCACTACGTTATGTTAGTGGATATTTATGTAAGTAATATTACACATATATTATATACTATATGTATACCTCGTTTCGTAGGAAATATAATTGCACTACACGAATCGTCGTTCACGATAATCTCGACACGGGACCCATACGACGTATACAACGATGCGCGGCGAGCACCACACTACCCTTAGAACCCTAAGAACTAGTGTTTTATCCACGTAAGATTGAAATCTGTGATGAACTATAAATCGTTGATTACATGAAAATGTTCACAATTCTGTGATGAATATTTGAATACAACGTAATGAGTTTATTTTTCATGGTACAGATTGAAGAAGAAAATTGATACTCGTTGCTGTAAAGTGTATGTATCATTTTTTAACGGTATCCATAGCAACCATGAATATTAATGATTCAAATATAAATGATATACAGTCTTCTGATTTTGGTAAAATGTTAATATATCCAACAAATCGTCAATATTATCCAACATATCCCGTGTATGGTGAGTATATTATTGAATTATATACAAAACAAAATTCTTGTTCCAGCTAAGTCAGTTCCTCGCTTTGACTGGGCTATTTTATCATTACATTGATGTTATGACGTCATTCATATTACTCAAACGATTGCTTTCGTTGTCTGAATCGATACGGGTTTCAACTTTGGTTTAACTTAATTTCTGCAGATCAATGATAGCGTCGCTGCCTATACTCTATTCATTTGTGCTATTAAGTATAGGTGCTATACACGCTTGAATCGAAGCTTGGTGATGTCAGTTTCAGTGTGTACGTCATATTGTATGATAGAACCAGTCTCACGTTTTTTTGCACTTCTCCTAATAAAGTGTAGATAATGTACACTACAATATTATCCCGGAACAGAACAATCCCGATTGTATGTATATATTTCATTATACGCACTATATATAAGGAATTCAAGTGTTTACGCAAGGAAGGTGTCACGGGGTGGCGATCACAGGGGTAACAGACGCGTGGAACTAGTCAGTATCATATTTCAAATAAGTGTGGGGAATTATTGGGAAATAAATCAACCAATATAATATCAGTTTAGATATACGAGCACATCTCTGACGTTATTTGAGGCAGTTTGATTTATTGAGTTAATAATTTCTCATTGAAATTGTAATTAAACTCTCAATAGAATTCATTGAAAGGTCGCCAAAATTCGAACTAATAATGAGCACCTTGCTCGAGCTGACGGGAGTGAATTCAGCCAGGTACTCTGCCACCGTGTTCGGGTTAACAGGGGTGAATTAAGTCAGCTTCTGCTCTACCTTGCTCGAGCTGACTGGAGTGAATTCAGCCAGGTACTCTGCCACCGTGTTCGGGTTGACGGGAGTGAATTTCATCTGGAGTTGTTTCCATCGTACTCGGCTACTACGGTGAGGAAAGTGTTCTATTCTCAATCATCATTATTGAGAATTTAGATCTAAATGATATTGAATCGCAATATGGACCAACATATCCCATGTATTTTTATATAATATACCCAAGATTAAAGGAGATTCAATCGGATATATTGGCTTTAACACTTTCCGCACCGCACTCTCTCAGGCTGACCTCAGACTAGTAATACATTCGTCTCTAACATGCACATTTTCCCACCTTCTACGGGGAAATTGATATTTCTATAAAAACGCGTATATAAATGATTATAGATGAGTATAGCTACATTTGTAAGACGGCTAGATTTATCATAATTTCACCTCAGCCCTGGAGTATAACTAAGATGACGAGATAATGAGTTAATAGACATACCCTTGTCATCTCTCAGTCATATTGATCACGATATAATTGATGCCTGTTGAGAGAGTTATCTTTCCGCGAACATAGCGACGGGTCTTTCGCGCACATACGCCCCGTTTCATGTACTTAGAGACAGTTTTTCCACACACAGAAAGACTGACTTTCACTTGAAGCCCGACCGGCCACGCACGAACAACCACGATTCTACTTGAACTGCATTCATGTTTTGAAGTGGATATGTATTACACATACTTTTTGGCTGCAAGTGACCTGCATGGTTTAGTGAAAAACGACGTTTCGACGTTTGGGCAGATAACGCGACTGTTACTAAATATTAATAAAATGACGTCTCCTTAAATCAATCATTTTCTTTATAACTGCGTTTGTTAGTGATTTACAATATTTGGAAAACCTATCAGATGGATAGTATTACTATTTGTACTTGTATTGCTTAATTCCTCATTTTGACGAACAACGAGAATAGGTAAATGATTCTGGTTATTTTGTAACTCTAAGTTTGCGTAGTTTCGGTTTCATAATCAACTCACGGAACTATAGGGCGTTGGCCATTAGTTGTGAACAGTACAACATTAACACATTCCCGTTAGCCGCGTAACGAACTTCTGGAGCGGTGTACAAAAGTGTTGTTTGTTTTTAAAACACATCATTGATATTTTACTGATCTTATTCGAAAATCAATACGCCCACCCCTTAGAAAAAATAGAGAACATTGCGCCAAGTAACCATTATGCGTCTTGTGTGGTATTAATATCCTATAATATCCCAGCTTAACAGGAATCAGAGAACTCCTGGAATTTGTCACACGGATTTGTAAAAACGTTTGGATGAAATAGGATAAAATTTTGATATTGTTGTACATATTTCTGCAACTTTTTCCACCGCCCTTTTCTACCCCCTGTGGTGACTTCCAAATATCCAAATATGGAATACCTTTTGGTGACTCAGTCAAAACTGTCAAGATTAACAATAGATTGCTCAAAATTATTCGTTGAGAGGGACATATCATTCATGGTATGGTTGCTTTTCATGACATATTCTGATCAATATGAATTATTATATACTATGATATCGTGACGTAGCACATCAAAAAATGGTGCTACTAGTATTCACAATTTTCATAATTTATATCTTATTTAATTTCATTTCCACACCAGCGTTGCGTAATTAAATCAAATGTGTACCAAATATTCATAATCTTGTTTAAATTCAACGCCGTTCAGTGAAAAAGTGGCACAATTTCTGACTGCATATCGAGTAATCCGTTAGCAGTGCTAGTAGAATATTTGATATTTCTCTCTCCCTACCTTCGGCCATTCGAAGACCAAGTACAGCATCCAGGTTCACCTCCCGGTACTTCTGGCTTACGTAATTCACAGCATCATTCAATGCCACCAAGACATCGTTAAGGACAACTTCATAAACATCGTCGCCATCGTCGTCCCCTGTTTGTCCTCCACGTGATTCCGTCTTGACTCCAGTAAATAACAGAAGTAAAAATATCGTCGTTGAAAAGAAGCGCTTCATCGTAGCCAGCCGAGTCGAAGTCAAAATAAAACTTTGCCTTTTTATTCTAGAGATATGGAACCGCCTAGTAGAGTTGGAGGCGCGTATATACTACCGCAACCTAAAAGTAGTTGTGATTTTAACCGAAAATTCGTGATGCTAATGTGTGACCGAGAAACAAACGTTTAACAATTGCGAGTTACGTAGAAGTATATGTAGAACAGGTTGAATAGCCTTAAGGTAGATTTTTACATCGAAGCGGTTTCTAATCAGTGGCTATGAAAAGATTGTATGGGCTTTCTGAACAGCCAATTTCCTCAAGTACTTTAAATCGCTGACACGGTAGTTGAGTAAAGGGCACGGGCGTAACGAAATGGAATAGATCTGCGATAATTACCTACAAAAGACGCGCAGTAATACCATCGCTAATTCAGTGTAATGTCATGTCGAATATTACCAGCTATACGTTTTCTGCCTCCAAAGTGGCGTTTTTAGTAATGAAAATGGAAATCTAATTTTCGTAGTAATCAACCGAGAGACGTCTC